GGGGAAAATTTCTGAAATAATCACTGCTCTCACTTCTGGTACCGGGGTGCGAATAGGCACTACGTTTGGTTTTGCCACTCCCCTTTTTTTGAAAAAAAAACCCCTGAAATGACGCCCCTGGTTGCTAGGCAATTAACGTGTCATTAAAAAATGATGGGATTGCTTCTGTATATTGACAGCAGACAATATACTGCAACACATATAAAAAACACGTGAAAATAAAACTCGGCGGCACCTGTTTTTGTTTTGCTTTGTTGCAGCGAGTAGCACGTTGTCACAGAAGGTTGAAATCCAAGTAAAAATTCTTCAGTGTGAAGGTACCTGAAGGGAAACAAATCAAGCCGTAAACGTTTCCTCACGGTAATCATCAAAGGAGGAGTTCCAGAGACAGTCGTCGTTCGATGACAGCAAGGATGAGTAGAATAAAGAGTAAAATGTCGGCTAATTGGGTTAGTAAGTAAGCGACCGAAAATGTGAAACAAAAGATACTTTTTTTCGCTTCATTTTTCGGTCGTTTTTTTTGTTGACTCAAAATCAAAGAGGCGGATATGGATAATTTCCGGGGGGGGGGGGCAGGGGCTTACCTTGACTAAAGGTAATAAGGGGAGAGACTGCAATCAGGTTAGCACAGTAAGAAGTGAGTAAAACAAAGTAAGATTAAACCTGAAAAAAGGTACGCAAGAAGACAATGAACGTGTCGGCAGGAAGCCTTCGTCAGCGAACAAAAAGAAAGGTCACTACTCTCTAAGGGTCTAAAATGTATTCCACTGAAACCATCTTGCGATCGCTACCAACTAATTTCGGATTCCCACCGCTATTTTCGTTCCTTGAGATTTCAGTTTCACTTTGCTGGGAAAAGTGCCGACCTCCCTGATGACGAGTTATTCCCGTGTCATCGAGAAAGCAAATTCAATTGGACACCACCATCTAATCAATCCAAGCCTTTAGACCTGTATCTAAGGAGCACGGAACATGGCATCAAGAACCTGGCTTTGCCTCCACTCCGGAAATCTGATCTTTCTAAAAGAGAATCACTGGCCCTATCTAAGCTACGCAGCCGTAAAGATATCGTCATCAAACCAGCCGACAAGGGTGGAGCTGTTGTTGTGTTAAAAAAAACAAAACAAGTGTCTCCCGGGGTAGGCACTCTGATCA